CTTGAATCGCCTCAACCCTTTACCCAAAGAAAAATTACTCGCTACTCATGTTTGAAACCGATTGAAAAGCAATAAAAGAAGAACTAAGCATGATTAAAGAGCGATTAAAGGAAAACTGCTTAATATTAAAAAGATTCAAGGTTTAAGAACAAGAAAAAGCTTAAGATTCAACAATGGCGGAATCGCCTACAAGAAGACTGAAAAAGAAAAGACAAAGCATGGATAACCGAAAGTGATCACCTCCTTTGCCTAAAATGGCCAAACAACTCCAAATGGTCCCCTCACTAGATGCCAAAAACCAGCTGGACGGATAAGGCTCCAGAGATCGATCTCGAGATCGATCAGTTCACTCGATCTTCTTCATGGATCGCCTTTTTCTGCTCGATCTTCTAGTCGATCTGGTTGGATGGATCAAGCACTTGCTTCGATCTTCTACTCGATCCTTGGATGATCGAGTCGTGGTCTCGATCTGGCTCTCGTTCTGCATGGCATCATTCACGTCCGTACTACAGATCGATCTCCTCTCTCGATCTTGGTCTCGATCCTTCCCCTTGAATCGACTTGGGTCACTCGATCTTCTGGTCGATCTCGTCTAGATCGACCTGCCTTGCTCGATCCGCTATTCGATCTCGTGTTCTTTGCATGCATGGCTGAGTTCTCCAAGTGTCCACAAGCTTCGTTTTGATCCTCTTCACGTCCATATAACTCCATAACTCCAGAGTGCTCCAAACAACCTGATAATGATGCAAAGTGCAAGAAATATGCAAAATACGAATGCAAAGAGACCTAGGACCTAAAATGCAACAAATGGAAGAAACTAGCTTATAATGCAAGATGAATGCATGAAAAACTATCATAAATGCATGCAAAATACGCAAAATATATGGTAATATCAGTATTAATGTTAATTAACCACAATACGCATTTAGCCAAGATTTTCATATGCAACAAACTTGATTTCATTTTGCATGTGAATAATTGAATAAATGATAAAATAGAGTTCTGATGCTTTTTACTATTATTAATTATACAGAAATGATGTGAAAAATAAAAATGATAATAATTAGCTTCTCTATAAAAATATTAATATAAGTTAAAATATAAGTTAAGTTTGCCCAGCTTATATATTATTCTACTCTAAATAATTTTTTTAACATTTTTATGACTTATTAGAAAAAGTGTAAATACCGTTTATACTTGAAATTTTTGAATATGTATATCTAAATTAAAAAAAAAATTATTTGATAGTAATCAGTAATATTAATTAAATCTAATTTAAATTAGTGATTGCACCATAAATTAAATTACTTGTATTATTAACTTGAATCAAACATAATAGATTGTATTTTAAGTAGTATTATTAATAAATTAATTTAGCTTGCAATTATATAATATTAAATATTATTTATTGTATACTAAATTTTGAAAAAGTCTAAATTATTAAATTGTTTTTAATTAACTAATTAGATCTAAATTTATTACTGATTCATTTAGCTGTATAATTAACATATATCGAATTTAATAGATATTTTTTAGCAAAAAATAAATAAATTAATAAATGAATTTGATTATCTTATTAATTAATGAATAAAGCATTATAATAACAATAAGATTTAATTTATTAATAATAAATTTTATCTAAACTTTTTTTTAATTTGGTTTTGATTAATATTTATTAATACCAGTGTAAAATATAATTTGAAATATAAAGAAATAGGTGTATCGCCCGCGCGTTTTGCGCAGGCATATAAAGATTTAAATAACTTTAATAATAAAGACAAAATATAAATTTTCTTAATTATGAGTTACTTTGATATATATAAATTTAGTCTATTTCTACTAATAATTGTCAACTTGGTATATATAAATTTATATGGATACATTAGGTCACATAGTTAGAGATCTGTTTTGTAACAAAGTTGCAAAATGATCATTTTTCATGTAAATTTATGGTTATTAGTGAAATCAAGCCTTCTGTTTCTTCTTTGGATATCAAATTATCATTAGATACTAAAAAATTACCTCAAGGCTGTTTTTTACAAGGAATATCCAGAATAAAAAAACTAAGTAAATGATAAGTTTCCATATGCTTGTGGTCATTAGTGAAGTAAAACTCTTGTTTTTTTGTATTCATATTACATATTCACCAAATATGAAGATTTTACCTCAAAGTTGAAATTTTTAAGAATCAAAAGTAAAGTATTCATATTACATACACCAAATACAAAGATTTTACCTTAAAATTGAGATTTTTAAGAATTAAAAGTAAACTCTTCTTCAACATAGTTCTTCTCTCTACTCGCTTGACCCAAAGCTCTCTTCTTTCCACTCTGTTAAAAAGAATGAATTTTCCTATCACTCACTTATGCATTCATAATCATCTTACGATTCTCACCATCTAAAACGACAACTCTTGTAGCTTCTCATTCTCGGTAACTCTCTTTCACTTCCACATGATCATTGCTTATTCCATGACCTCCTCATGCAAAGGAACATCTGAAAGACCAAAAGCTTTGTAACCGTGTTGTTGCAAAGATTCATAGTTGAAAGCTCTCTTAACTTTCTCTACTTGTCATTTCTCTTTCTCACAATATCCATATAATCCGCATTAGAATTAGATAACGATGACTCTTTGGATAAGTCATCATTATCATTATCATCCCATCGCATCATATCTTTCTTTACGGTAAGGAATGTTATAACTCTAACAAAGAAACGAATCTCCGTTAATCCAATTTACAAAATAGATGTTTTTTTTAAAATAACGATCTAATATACATAGGAGAAGCTTATGCTGCAAGTATATCTAATAAAATATAAAGAGTGTTCTATATACAGAACATAAATGCACCCAAGCAATATGTGGCGGCACATACATAGTGTTCATTGTAAATATTGAATGTTTAATCAGATTGCTGCATTGTCTCTGCAAATTATTTGCATCACGACACCCCCAACGTCACCTTGATATATTTTCGACAATCTCTGCGTTAACCGATTCATTACTAAATCAATTCCAAAAATCAATATTTGAGTCTTCGAATAATATCAAATAAAACGTTTTTTCTTCCATCTTGGAGGAAAAAAAGATAGCCTTCCTCTTTGCACCTTAAAAAAAATCCAGAAGAATCCTTGCATTTGCAGAACTGAGTTTCAAATGCCTTTTAAGACTCTTCGACCAAAACAAAACAAAAAAATGAATACCCAGATTTAGAATAATTTGTTTTCTTCCAGAGAACCAATCTATAGCTTAAGATCTTAAACATATCCTCATCACTATTAAACGCTAGTCTTAGTTGTCACTTGATACACTAGTCATTGGATTTAGCATAAATAAACATCAGAGAAAAACTGTAAAAAAAAAAAAAAAAAAAAAAAAAAAAAAAGACTCAAATCTTCCACAGAAGCTCACCTTTAATTATAAAGGCATAGACGCCAATTCCCACTCCAAGCACAAGCTTTATTGGCGATTATCACTTACCATCATTTTGATGTATAAAGAACAAAATTTTCAAACTTCTAAAACTTAGATCGAATATCGTAGCAATCGATAGAGAACAATACACAGAATAATCAAATAAGAAGAAAACCACCAAAGAAAATAAAATATCAGAAATATCAAAATCACCTTTTGAAAACCATGTAGCAATCCGTAGATCGATCCACACCTACATCTCATACCGAAGCATGTATTTTTAATGCCTACATTGATCAAAAAAGAAGTGGGAAATCAGATAAAATATGGATGACAACATAAAACACATATAAAGACCAATCAACCATTTTTCTATAAACATAAGAACGTATACCAGAATTATATTCACATGCTCTCCGACCATGATCGTTTGATCCTAACAAAGTATAGAAGAAGAAATCAGAACCTTTAAACAAACTAAGAATAATAAATAAAACATTATCACAAACATATAAAAACATAAATTTCACAACCGATACATATTTTTGAGGGAAATTAATAGCATGTTTAGATGAATTTTAGATAAATAAACATACAATAAAAATCTACAAAACCTAATAAGAAAAAAAAAGCGATGAGAATTTGTTAATAAAATGTCAAGATGTTTATATAAATTAACAAATTTATATAATCTAATTTTTAACCAATTTTTGTTTTTTCTAAATCTAGATTTCCAAATTCAACTTTATATCATAAATTCAGTATACTAAAAAAAGGTAACTAGCATAAATAAAAAAATCCTAATTATTTTATTAAACTAATTTTAATTTGATTGGATAACCTATTAATATTTTTGACTAACCTAATTGATTTATACGACCACAAGTAAAACTCTAAATCATTTAAACATTTTAAAAACTCTCTATATATATATTAATTAATGTTAAGTTGATATGAAACAAAGATCTTTTGGTTTTGGTCATTTTGGATTGCTATGTTTTTTTTATGCAAACTTTGAATATCATTAATCATAATCTATCAATTTACATCAAAAGAAGAGAATTATATATCATGTTAGATAAATACAACAAAACAACAAAGCATACATATAAGTTTTTATCAGACAATATAAAAGATATTAGAAAATAAGATATAAATAATATATTTTGTTTTGTCACAAAAAAATAATATACTCATGAAAATTGTATTTTTTAAAATATATTAAGTTTGGTTTCAAATCATTATAAAATCTGATTTTTTATCTATAAATAAACTAATGTTATATTTTAAAAAAAAATAATCAATTAACTTAATTCACATAAGGGATAAAATGTAATCAACCACAATAACTTTCAACCACAGCCCAACTTGCTTTTCAATTAATAATATGATTCTACAGAAACAATGAGCAGATGAACCGAAAACACTTTAAACTTTTATAAAATAAATCTGTAATTTTCAGAAACAAAAACAAAAGTAAATACAAAGTTTTACACAACTCTTTCACATTTAGATTACACATCATCATATTCATCACATACATTCCACACCAAACTCCAACAGAAAAAAAAAAAAAAAAAAAAAACTAGTAAGATAGATAAACGGTACACTGCAGAACAGTCTCAAGACCATCAGTGAACTGATGCGGCTGCTGCGTCTGCGTCCCACTAGATCCCGTAAACGTTTTCACAATCGCAAACCCTCTCGCGTTCACATACTTCCCTGTACCTCCCATAACTCCTAAATGCGATTCCGAAGCCGCCGTTCTATGAACTCCAAAGAAACTTATGCTATCTTCATAACCGCCACTCTCAAACATGGCAGTGAACGCCATCGTCTGGCTGGTCCCATCAATCGCACTCGCCACATAGTATCCCTGCGCTTTTCCGAGCAAACCAGACCCGAGCTCGTGCCCTTCGGTTAGTTCATCATCGATCACAGTCATCGTCCCGAACATAAGCATCTGAAGAGCCGAACCGCTCGGGAGCTGACCGCCGTTAGCGACGGGAAGACCGTTTAAAAGGTTGTTGTTTCCGTTATTACCGTTGTTCTGGAGAATACTAGCCGTTGTTCCACCGAGTCCAACGAGAAGAGGGACATTGTTGTTGTTGACGATTCCGTTGTTGTTGTTGTTCGATGGGACTCCGTTGGTTATCGGAAGGTTTGCGCCGTTCGGTTTGGCGAATGGGAGTTGACCGCTTAAAGCCGGGTTAGCCACGACTCCGGTCACGGCTCTGGCGGTTGGGTTCGAACCGCCGAGTATATCGTGCATAAAGAATACTAATGTGTTGTCGGGACCTGCTCCACCACCAATACCTGCACCACCAAGAGCTGGACCGGTGCCTACACCAGGACCGGTGGCTGAACCACCAACCGGTAAAGCACCAGAACCAGCAGCTGGTAGAGGACCGGGACCAGTGCTTGGCAAGGAACCTGAACCACCAACTGGTAAAGGACCAGGAACAGAACCGGCGATTGGTAGAGGACCAGGACCAGTAGTAGGTAAAGGACCTGAACCACTTGATGGTATTGACCCTGTTCCTGCACCAAAACCGGTTCCCGTAGAACCTGAGCCAGTTCCCGCAGAACCCGAGCCACCAAAACCGGTTCCTGCAGAACCTGTGCCACCAAAACCGGTACCCCCAGAACCTGAGCCACCAAAACCGGTTCCTACCGAACCTGAGCCGGTTCCCGCAGAGCCTGAGCCAGTTCCCACAGAACCTGAGCCAGTTGCTGGTAAAGGACCAGGGAAGGGACCTGACCCAGTAGTTGAGGCTGAGAATGTATCGTCTTCATCAAGAAGTCGAGCCGCTGATACAAAAGTAACTGCAAGAGCTATTATAACCAGGAAGGAAAGTATCTTTTGACCTGCCATTGAACAAGAAGGATGATCAGAAATGTAAAAAGATTGTTGTTTGAACTAAATGATTTGTGGATGATAGAATCAGATTCTGAAAGAGTATATATATAGAGACAAGAATGTATATAGAAAGAAGATGGAGTTGATGAAATGGAGCAGGTGATAAGCTTTTTTCCATTATCTGGTGGTATTGGTTTTGGAGAAGAGAAAAGAAAACAAAATCAGCTATAACTTCTCCACGCGATATGAATATTAATTTTGACAAAATTGTGCCAAATCTGAAATGTAAATTAACCCAAATATTAAAGCTTTTTCATTCTTTATGCTAATATATACTTAACGAGCATGGGAACTGAGAAATAAGTTTAGTTCAGATCATACCTTGTAAAGGTCACTCTTTTTAGTTCCTATGACTTTGCCCAGTTAAGAACACAATCAGGCTTATTGCACGTCACGATCGTTGGTTGCATTTTCCTCTCTCAGGCATTTGATCAAACACCTTGTAGACACTTTCACAGATATTCCTTTCCCAAAGCAAATCCTTTGATTATAAGATTGAATGAGATCGAGTTTGAACCCAAATCACCCTCTCGATGTACCCGTCGAAAAGGGTTTTTGGCTCAGAGAATGATCCGTAACACAATCAAACGAGACCATTTATAAGGAAAAATCAAAGCCGTGAAGAGTTTTTATCAAACACCGGCTGTTTCGATTCGATCATGAAGCCCAGACTGAGAAATTCGTCGACGGCTTTCGAATTGCGCAATAGAGAGAAGAGGAAAGTGTACTCTCCGGTTCAACGATATCGAGTCCCGGTTGAGAAAGTAAACCGAAACCAAATGAGCTAAACTGTAACCGAAACAGTCGGTTCGTTCAGTGATCTATATTTTTATCTTTGGGTATCTTTTAATAATAATTAGATGAATACCAGCACTCAGATTTTTGTCTGAGAGTATAATTTGTTAGAAACTTTATTTATAATTTATTTTATTGTACATTTCAATCTTTTTCATGAATAATACTAATAGTTTTTTGTTTTAATTTTTAATTGCTATATTATTTTAATTTTATGGTGCAACATTTGTTGACTATATTTCTCAAATATGATACAACAAAATATATAAATGATGTTAAAATGTATGATAAAAAAGTATTTGTCTATTATTACTTACTTTTTTATTGGATGAGAAACTTATAATTTTAGTGATGAACTATTATGTCAAAATTTTTTTAAAAAATATTATATATTTAAATAAATATATAATATATATGTATGTGATAAATGTTTTGTCCAATAAAAAATATGAATTGTATTATGTTTTTGTAAAGTATATATTATTTTAATTAGTATACAATTAAAAAGTAAATAATTAATTAATCTAACTTTGATTGCTTCATAATAATAAATTATTTATTTAAAATAATTAAAAAATATATATCACTCTCTCCAGTGCTGATATGGCATTTGAATTGATCATCTTTAATATTATAGATACTAATAGATTACTGAAACCAGGTCCATATTTACAGCAACTGTAATTTAGATCAATCTAACTAATCAAACAAGTGTATAATCCTTATATTTTGTTCGGATAATATTCACGAAATAAACGGATAGTGTTAACCTTTAGATAAATTCATCTGAAATAATATATAAGATAAAATAATATTAATATAAGCATTTTGAAGGATCACATAAGCATTTTTTATTAAAAGTGCTTGTCAAATAATATAAAGGATAAAATGATATTAATAGATAAAAAAAATATTTTGACTAAATGATGTGATATTTAAATGAATTTGAAAACGTTTATATAAATAAAAATTAATTATAAGGATAAAATTCACGTTTAGATAATTTTATTTGCTTTAAAATAAGATAGTAGTAGTTACAAAAGATATATATTTTAACTAAGTTTAAGCTGATTTAAAATGAATTTGATAATGTTTATCCAGATAAGATAATGTTAAATGACTTTGTTTATATATATTTCTGGCCATAAAAAAAGGAGATAAGATAATGTTAAATGACTTTGTTTATATATATATTTCTGGCCATAAAAAAAGGATAAGTAGTTAATTTGGTTGTGTAATTTTTTGTTTGTGAAATGTGAATATATAATTGAATTGATTAAGTTTCTCATTTGATAAGTAATTACTATACTAGTTTATTCTAATCGATCAAATAAGTGATTTAACAAGGTTATTTAGCTTAACTAAACACAACATCTAGATCGTCAATAACAGAGGCTGGAACCAAACTAAAAGAACTTTTCATCCTTTTTTATTTATTCAGAATCGTAGCAACGAGAAGAGAATCACAATAAATCATAAAAGACAGAAAAAAACTTAAAAATAAAAGCAGCTAAAAGAACACTTGCTTAACCAAACTAAATCCTCTTCTCTTCCTCTCATTATTTAGTTGGAAGGAGGGAAGAAAATGGCATCAGAAGTCCTCTTAGATCGGAAAGCCTTCTCCACCTCCGGTGCCACCTTAAACGCCGCCTGTAAAACCTCCGGCGACAATGCCTTCCACACAGATGTCTTCCCCGCCAAATGCGTGAATATCGGACTGCCAAAAACATTCAATAACTTGTTAATTAAGTAACCTTAATCAATCTAAAATAATAATTAAAAAAAAAATAGAAGAAGAAAATCTTACTCAGGAGTGGTGACAATGGAGAACCAAGACAAGCCATCAGAATCAGCAATCTTGGAAACAACAAAGAACCTAGGAACAATGAACAAATATCCAGCTTTCACATGAGTCTCAAGCACTCTCTTCCCATCAGCTCCAACGATCTGAACACGACCACTTCCACCAACAATGTAAGTAACCTGAAGAGCAGAGTCACAAGAGAAACCAGGAGAACACATGGAGTGTCCATCGATCCTCACGAGATCAGCACCAAACCCAACTTCACCAACCAAAGGAAGATTCTTTGTGTTCAACACAACAACTCTTCCTCCGTTCTTGATATCAACATCAAGAGGAGCCTCCAAGCAGTTCAACACAAACCCATCTCTATCACCTTTCTTTGGTGACGGCATCTTCAAGCTCGCATCGACCTTCACGATCCCGTTACCGGTTTGAGAACCGACAAGCTTCTTCACTGTGGACTCATCGAGATCCCATGCTCTGCCGACAAACTCGGTTGAGAATCCGGTGAAGATTCCGTTTGATCCGGTTAGGTAAAAGTCAGTGAACTGTCCTGCTTTGTGACCCTTGTGAGTCTCACCGAGGAAGAGGATGACTAGCTCAGTGTCTTCATTGTTGAGCCACCATGTCACCACACCGAAAGGTAAAGCTATGGAGTCTCCTTTCTTGATTTCAATCACTTTCTCCTCTTTCTCTGGGAGAACAATTCCAGCTGTTCCAGCTCCTGAAATTTTACATGAAAAGAATTCTTTTAATTCTACATTCAGGATAAATTGGCTAGATCACAATATTATAATCCTCAAATCTTGAATCATACAAAATTCCAGATCTTTTGAAAAATTGATATGTGTTTTATCAGATCAGAATTAACCAAATTTATGAAACAAAAACTAAAATAATAAAAAAAAAAAGCGTAAAGATTTTGTGAAACTGATAAAAACCATTAAACAAAAGCGGATGAATAACATTAAGAAAGTTACAAAATTAGGAGAAAGCGAGAAAAAGGGAGTGAAGCGACGAAAGGGAAGATCTACATGCATCTTACAGTTAAAAGCTGTTTAAGCCACAATATCAATTATTCTAAATGATTAGTTATTTTTCAGATAAGAATAACCAAAATCATGGACAGAAACTAGCAAACCTAAGATAATCGGCTAATCAAGAAACAAATAAACAGAAAAAAATGTGAAATTGATCGAATCCATTTAATAAAGAAAAAAATATGAAATACAATTAAAGTTCCAAAATTTTGGATATAAAACATCGGAAAGAGAGTGAAACGATCAAAGGGAAGATATAAAAGAATAAGAAAAAACGGACCTTGAAGGATATAAGCGACCTTGGAGGAATCGGAGTAGCGAGGAAGAGCAAGGCCATACTTCTCGAGAGCGAGCTTAGAGGCTCCAATGTTGCCATGTTTGAGCATCGGCAACTCTTCAGGGCACCATGCAAAGTGCGAACCACCGTCTCCTCCGTACACCTTCTTGGGCAGCTTCGGTGAAAGATCCAACTCCATTGTTAAAACACTAACTTTAAAACGTTGAAAAAGGATAATCAATAGAGAGAAGATTGATAAATGTTTGATGTGAGAAGTGAACGAGAGAGAACACGTATTTATAGTGGATTGAGGATATCTATTCAGTTATCAATTGAGAGATTTTGGAAACAAAATCTTTGACCATCGATAACTACGATGATCAACTTTTGGATAAGTATGGATAATACTGTACTTAATATTCTTAATTCATGTATTTCTTAACATTATCCATGTTTTATTATTTTTATATTACTAAAACATTTTCATTTTAAAGTTTCATAATAATTCAAATTTTAGGCGGAAATTTTTCATTATATTATATGTATCTGATATCTATTTAATATAAATTTTGAGAATCATATTTTAGGCGAAAATTCGAATATTTGAACATTTAAAATTTTGTATTTTTCTATTGGTATTCAAATTTTGTTTCTTAGATAAATCCAAACAAGAAAATTAAAAATTCATACTCATTTTTAAATATATAATTTTCTTAAAGAGTTAGATTTTAAAAACGTTTAGTCTAAATCTTTTAAAAATCTTCTTAATAAAGTTTTACGTACGTTACGCAAAAAAATCAGTTATCTAGTCAATTCTTAATTGAATCTATTTAAAGCTACTATGATAATTTGCTTTCAGTTACAGATTATAGTTGAATATCGCATATTAATCATTTAAGCTTGTTTTCTATTATCAAGGAATCGTCATAATTTATTTGCTGTTGTAATTAGTTTTGCTCGTTCAAAAGATTTTTTTTTTAAAAAAAACAAATGCGGCGAAGATGGTGTAAAAAACTGTAAAAATGATCATCTCTAAATTTTTAATCAAAATAATGTACAATATGAATGTATGATTCGCATTTAATTGTAATCTACGACAATATGTTTATATAATCTATTAAACAAAAACAAAGATGAAAGTTGAGTAGTTGTAGATGGAATAGCAACCTTAGTATTGAGAAGAGAAATTATGGTAGTTTAAGATTGGCTGTACTAATTGCAGAAAGATGGGAGATAGTGGAAGCTTAGATGTCTAAAACAACTGTAGGAACAAAGGCATTCTCAGATTTTGAATATTCAGTACTCAACATAACAACATTGTAGAGCTTAAGCAAATGTTCTTAAAACAAAAAACAAAAAATCATTGTAGAGCTTGGAGCAGGAGGAGGAGCAATGCTAACGACGCATTGTTTGAGTTTGTGGCTGGTGCAACACTAGTTTTTAGAAAAGCCCACTTAACATTAAAAGGAAATATTCTGACTACTGTACTGGAGTCCAAGGCCCACAATAAAGTGGAAGATATATATATACTCACAACAAAAAAGAATATACACGAATTTCTGTTTATTTCCCCACTTTCTAGTTTCTATAAAAAGGATTAACCAATATAAACTCTTAATTTAACCCTTTCTTTTTATTTTTGAGGGGATAATGGAAATATATTGGTCATTTTGATACCATCAAGTACTGTGCAGTGACAACAAATTTCAAGGAACAACAAGTCTATTTTCTCCTTCCTTAAAGCCAACCATTCTAAATTTTCAACTCATGTAACAGTGATTTGAGACACAACAATACATCTTCTTTCAAACTAGTTTAAGTTGATGGCAGATGCAGCTAAGGAAACAGAACATGTTTTGCGCCTAACTTATGCAAGAACATGACCAAAGCCACCACAACACTGGTCACAGTCCAATCCATAAATACAGTATTGTCTTTACCTGAATATTTTTTCCAAAAACAAGACCAAGTCCTCTGTCTTGAATTGTCTCCCACGTTTATGATCTTTGATCTTTATACTAAGAGTTAGGCACACCACTGATCCCAATGCCAAACATATGTCTTTTATCGGTACCTGTTTGTAAAAGTAGACGAAATCAACTCATGTTTCCATCAAAATTTTCATGTCTTTTAGCCATTAGGTCTCGGTTGTTTTGTTTGTTTTTGTGGTTATGATATACTTTTCTAATTTTTTAAACACACTTAATTCTAACGCAAAATGCAAGAAAAAGTAATTTGTATGGTAAGTATTTTATCTAGAAAAAAAAAACATATTCAAAACAAAGATAAGCACACAAACTAATATTTAAAATTTATCTATAAAGCAGCCTTTTATAAATTAAAGCAATACTAACCGAACATGGTAGAATCAAGAATCATGACTTATAAATCTTATATAGAGATTCATAAATATCTGAAATCCATAATCCCAAATCGTTTATACTCCAATTTACACACACAACCTCTTAAGTCTGAAACAAAACCATTTTAAATCTTTACAATAATATAACCCCAAATTAAATATATAAGAGCAAGAAAAAGGTTGTAAAAAAAGAACAAGAAACACTAATGAAATCTTTGTCTCTTAGCAAATTCTATTCCACTAGAAATTCCAGGAACAGAGCAGCCTCTGAAATCAAGCATTGACGTCGTCGTCTTCGTATAACAACCTTTTAAGGTATCGTAAGAATTCGAAATCGGCGGGACTCTGAAACTCTGTTGAAGCGGCGGAGGATTACGCCACCGTGGAAGAGGACCGGCGACAAGAAGTGTCTGAAGCAACGGTCCAGAGTCCATCACAGTTTGAAGAAGCTTCCCTTTCTCCGGTAATGTTTTTCCCTTTATAATCTCATCCATCAGAGCCTCCACTGGATCAATCTTAACCGGTCTCTGTTGAGAATAGTTGATCCGGTTAACGTGTTTGTTTTGAAGCTTGATAACCGGTTCCGGTACAATGTTGAAATTGGAGAATTCAGGGGAGGAGACCGGTTCGAAGAACGATTCAACCGGTGAAGAACCGTGTGAGTTTGACTCGGTAATGCTCGAATTCGCTTTAATCGTGAGGAGTTTCTGTAATTGATCTTTAGCTTCGTCTCTTTCTTGATGAGCAAGCTTGAGAAGATGAAGAAGATTCTTCACTTCTTCTTGGTGAAGCTTTGATTCTTCATTAGCTTTTGTTTTCACAGCTTCGAGCTCAAAGGAAGTGTATTGAAGCTTTTGTCTTAATTCATCCGAACTCTGCGATAATATCGAAAAAGTTAAAAACATGAAAAGAAAGAAGTAAAAAGTCAGGAATTAATTGATATAAAAATGAAACGAATCATTGAAGAAATCAACATCTTGAAAATAGTATACTGAAAAGACGATAAAATTACAAAATACATTGGGTTTTCTCCTAATGATGATGTGTAATAACAACCTTGCGTTCATGGGGTCAAGAATTCACTCAAACGTTACTAAATGTACACCAAACATATTATTATTAAAAAAAATATAAACGTCAGGGCTAGAAAATAATTTAATAAAAAAGACAAAACAGAAAACAGTATTTCTTGAGTTAAATAGCAGAAAAGTACAAGAAGTCACATTTTTGTAGGTAAAATGGATTGTTCTGACAGATTCTCATAGATCTTAGAGTTTTTATAATGTCGGAAACAACTCAAGTGAAATGTTGTGAAAAGAAAGAAGAAGAAGATGAAGATAAAAATACCAAATAAATGTGATTTTTGTCAGAAAACAAGCAAAGTTATTGGAGTTTCATGAACCACACACACACACACAATAATTATTCAAGAGAAAGCCATATTCTAAATCTATAGAACTCTAGAATTGGCCATACATATAATGTTCATGGAAATGTTGAATATTAAGGAAAACCAACCTCTTGGTAAAACCAAATAGAACTCAACTCTTCCATTTGTTTTGTGACTTTTGTCTGTTCTTCTCTGGTTTTTTAGAGAGAGAGAGGGAGAGAGAGAGAGAGGGGGAGAGAGAGAGAAGAGAGCAAAGAACAGAGGGAGGGAGTTGCAGGGGATGGTGTGGGTGTTCTTATAGTGTAGAAGAAGAAACCATAACGAGAGAGGACAAGAGGGGAGAGATGTCGTTCATGTCATGTCATATGCATAAAATTAAAAAGAAATATAATTATAAAATTGAAAATAGAAAATGATTAATTTTGTTTGACTCGAAACTTGGTAAGATTCCATATTTGTCCTTTCTCTCTCTCTAAACAGCACTGAGCTTTCTTTCCTAAAACCTCTCCCACATTAGCAGGGGAACCTGTCTCTTGCTTAAAATAATTCGTTATTTATTTAACTTTACCATTTTTATACCTATCATGCATGACATTTATACACAACATGCATAACATTTATGACCTTTAACTATTTATATTAATGTAATACATTAAAAATCAAACTTTCAACCACTAATTCTGGTTTTAAGAGAAACCAAATATGTAAATAACTAAAGTATCAATAGTTATCTATAACTATATTGAAAATAAATTATCTCTGTAAATAATTAATTAATTTTCTCTCAACTTAGATTCTAAAATTGACAATCCACATAATCCACATATTTTCTTATTTTCTATTTTTATATATTATATTTTTTTGTCAACATTATAAAACTTTTTTATATAGTTTATGCTTGGTTTATTGTTGGTTGGTGTCAAAATTTAATATATATAATTTAAATACTTAAATAAATGGAAAGATAACAAAACTAATTCTAATTCTAAAACATGTTAGTAGAAATTTAAAAATAAAAAAGTTTTAAGAAACTATTTTTTATAAAAAAATGTAAACAATAAATATAAATATATATTATATTAATTTGTAGCGTAATATAAATCAACAACAAAACATGTTAAAATCATATAAATTATAATTATCTCATGTATTTCACTTTAAATTATAAATAATAATATATTATGTATATGATATTGCGTCATTTTAATTCATAAATAAATTAAACTAACTACAATATTCATGTGAATTTATGTTGTTTTCGAACCCAAAATGTCTTTTATATATTCATAGTACATTCCAAACCTATAAATAGATCCTCTTTCTGAATATTCAAATGGGCTGAAAGTAAAAATTCATATCCATATGACCAAATGAAAAATATTTAACAATTTCAAGCTTGAGGGAAATGGATGTCTGGTTCAGACCAGCGGGACAAACCATCAAATGTCTTGCTAAAACAAATTCCCAATTCAGTTCTACAGAATTCCCTTCCTAGTATATTCATTCACAACTTATAAATATTTTGAAGTGATTTGCTCAGACTATAGACATCTTTGTCATATTTATTCGATAGGAACAAAAGTACTTTGTTTTGGTTGCTCATTTTGCTCGATTAATATGGATCGGATTAGCCAACAAAAATGCAAGAAAAAATTGAAGAAGAATTAAAACGTGGCAATTGAAACCTTAACGTCTATATACATCATAAAAACAAAAACAAAAAGCATAAAAACAAGATTCATAGATTGGTTTCATTTCCGACGGTTCATTTTGAGGAGATGTATTACTATATTTAGGATATCTACCTATTTGAATACAATTATATAATTACGAAATATTATAATTATTTTTGCAACTAATTTTTCACTTGTTTATATATTAAGTTTGCATAATATGTAGTTTATTCACTTTTTAAAATGTGATTCTGCTAAATATATAATATAGTGAAAACGTTATACATATTATTCACTATGTTTAACACAAAATAATAAAAATGAATATTAACAAATTTATTTTGAATATATTCCATATATTTAAAATTATAAGCAATATAACAAAAAAATATTTAATAAGTAATAGTTTTTGGTGTTTTCATTTTTTTTTAATTTTTCTATCCTAATAATTTTACTATTGTCAGTTTTGAATTTTCCTATCTTATTAATTCTTATGTCAAACCCAATATAAAATTGTGTAATCTCACTTTTAAAATCGTGACAATAAACATATTTGTTTTACACATTAGCATATATGACCATCCTTAGATAGTCCTGTTTTAAGTTACTTTATTTATTTCTGAACTGTAAAATGTATATATATATATATGTTGGTAATTATTCTTTTTTTATCACTATGTTTGACTAATTTTTTTCACGGCAACGCAATTATTTATACCAAATAGATATATAAAATATATATGTATATACCTACACAAAACAGATTAATTAATAAAACAGCGAAATATTTTACAAAAGAAAGAGTACACTATAGTCGACACAGAAAAGGTGAACATTATACGTTTTTAACGAATTTAATTTCCAAAATTAGTATAACCTTGTAAAATTGCAATGATACTAAAAAAGCAACTTCATAAATCGTGAGTCATGTCAATTATTTTTGTTTTAGTAGGCAGTGCCAGTCTTTGAAAGTGCTTGGTGTAACTTTAAAATCTATTTCCATATATTGCATGAAGAAAAGAGACTGAAACGGAATTTCTAATAGCGTGTTTTTGTATATTTGTACAATGATACGCTTAACATACGCGTTTTTAATGCCCATTTTTATTTTCCTGCGCATTTTAGTAGCCATTATTGCAAAAAATTAACAAACATTAGTTAAGTATTTGAGTTTTAATGTCGAAAATTTATATACGAGAATATATGAGCTTTTAGCACATACCATTCGAACATTGTTTTTATTAAATATTACTTAACATTTTTCTTACATACTAATATTATATTAATAAAATGAGAAAAAGCATTAAGTGCATATTAAATTTTGAAAACATTCGATTTTTTAAAACATAAACTAATAAACAAAAAGAATCTAAAACATCTAACATTTTTAAGAAGAATGATAAATGTCACGTTTTTATATATATAAACCATTATATGATTCTAATAATGTATGCTAGTGTCATTATTGTTTCACCATTCTAGTTCAAATCTACATAATATATTGTTGATCATATGTATATTTAAAATAGAATAATACTATGCCTGTATTTTAAATTAATCTATTTGTAAACTGGATCAGTGGCTGGATTGTATATATATAAAAATCAATAACTGTTTGTACCCGATAGCAATCCGGGTTTCTACCATTCTACTTATTTTACCGAGGATGAGTATAGCTATCAGATAATTATTTTCATAAAATAGTTTATCTGGAAACTAAAAAAAATTGGGAAAAAAATGACATAATATTTGACAAAGAGAGCTAAAATACCCTGTTTTTTTTTATTGGTAATACAAGTACAACCGATTAAAAACTTAGATCAGATTGCTTGGTTATTCCACAATTACTTTTAATATTTCATTTCATTTAGTAAATTCGTCGAATCAGATATATTTAAAGCATTAATTTTGTTTAATAATTATGTCACAAACTCTTAAAAAATGTATTTTTTTTATCAACGTATGTTTTTGTTTAACGTATGTTAGATGGTTATGTATTGGCATTAAACTCAAAGGTTATGCCCTTAAATGAATAAGATAAAAGCGGGCCCTAGCTCACAAAATATTTTGATCAGCGGAGGTTGCACGATGGTGACAATCATTGGCTCTACGTGAATCCAAGGATGAACAAAACAATGGTGGAGTAATATTTAATAAATGGATAAAGTAATTAAAAATTTTATATAGTGAGACTGTGAGAGGAACGTATATTTTTATTATAATACTTAATATGAAACCACGAGAGGCTCCTAGATTTCCTTATGATGAACTGCCCGAGAAACTGAGCTACATACAAATATTTTGACTTGTTAAATAATCAATTAATCTTTAGTTATATAACTGACCTTGTTTTTGTAACTTACATAATGAATGTCATCCAAAATTCTGGACCAAAAGTTGTACATCTTTTAGATTCGCTAACATATGTTATATTATTTCGATTTTAGTGTTATTAGATTTTGTAACTTTTAAGATTTCTTTACCATTTTCAATGTATTTCTTCATTTTCTACTCTAAAATAGAGTAATTTGAAAATAAAATTGTGTTTTGTTCTAATGTATATTTTCATTTTTTACTCCAAAAAAATATTTTAAATAAATTTTTATTTTATTTTATTATTAATACCATTTAGTTTTAAAATTTTCAAATAAACCCTATTTATTTTATTGTTTACAATTTGTTTCAAAAATTATAAATTAAATATTTATTAAATAACGAAAATTACATAACAAAACATTACTATAACTGAAATTTTTATCATTAATTTTTTTTGTATTTGTTGTCTTAATTTATTTTATTATTTATCTTAATTTCAGCACTTATTTTTTTTAATGTTTTTCAA